AACTGTCTCCAATTTATTTTTCTAATACACTTACTGATCTACTCTTTTTCTAATATATTTATTTCTCAAGACCATTCCCCAAAGCAATTATCACAATAGCTTTTATCTCCTGGTGAAGTTGATTTGACCATTATCAGATGCGATGTTGTGCATAAAAGCATTAAAATAAAAAGCATGACTTTGTTGATATGATCATTAAAATTTGAAGGCGCTAATCTAAAAAAGTAAAGCAATTGATGACTAGTTAGCTGAAAATTGAGAATAAAGAAGAGTGTAATAAAACTAAAATAGGTGTAATCCTAGTTGGGGCGTGTTAAGATATATGTTGAATTTTTGAAATAACTTCAAAATTATAAGGAGAAAAGAAGTTCAAAATTATAAGGAAAAAAGAAGTTCAAAATCATAAGGAAAAAAGAAGAATATTAAGATTAAGGAAACATTGAATATTTTTAAAACAAAATATTGCCACCAAAGCCCCTACTTTAATAAATTAGTTATTGTTATGTGTTAGATTAGATGAGATAGAAGTTGATAAAATCTTTCTTGGCAAAAAAAAAAAGATGTGTCTAAAATCTATAAAAAGAGAGTTTTTAAATCAATAAAAATAAATTTATTGATTAGTAATACTCAATTAGCAAACTATAATTTCAATTAACTGTTTGCAAAAAATCCTTCTGCTTATTGATTATTTTCACCTATTCAAATCTTATTTTCAAATTATATAAATTCTGTTTTGTAAATAACATAATTGTCATAATGGATCAGAATGATTCTACATTCCAAGATGAATCAAAAGATACTTCTGATAGTATATTTGAATATAATTTGGATTCTATGTCTGTTACACCTTTTGAATCTTTAGCTTTATATAACGAATATTTAATATCATCTCCTAATCTTGAGCGTACTACTTTATTATATACTTTCAAATCTTTATATAGTTCTGAACCACTTACTTTAGATAATTCTAAAAATCTTGCTTCACCACCAGATAGTTTTACTTATTTGGATCCTCCTAATATTAATTTTTCTCAAAATACTAAAAAACACAAGTCAGTTTTTGCTACATCCAATAAAACAAAATGCTTAGTTCTAGTTAAAAAAGTTGAAAAAATAGAACCATGTAGAGAAACTTTTGTGCTTCTTACTAGTACTAGTACACTCAGAACTCATCTATGTACAGTACATCATTTGTCAAAAAAAGGTTTGTTATTGCTATTGTCAGGCATATCTAAATAGCTAGTTTCCAAAAAACCTAATTGTGTAGCTCAAAACGATCCTACACATTCTACATTATTAGATACAATAACAAAACTATCATCATTATCTTCTAAAAAAAAAGATAGATTAACATCTAGACTTTTGATAAAGTTGATTAATGATATACTAGCATTTAATATAATGAAAAATAATAAATTTTACAATTTTGTATATGAGGCTAAACCCTGCTAAAAAATTCTGTACCAAGATACATTAAAAAAAAAAATTCATGATGCAGTTAACTTTGGAGAAAATAAAATACTTGACCTTTTTCAAATAACTATGAATATATTTTTATTTATAACTGATCTTTAGATCAGTGCATATAAACTATATATCGGAATCACAGCCCATTGGCTTGATTCTGATTTTTATTTAAATCAAATACTTATGACTATCGAAGAATTTCCTTATCATCACACTGGCGAACACATCGAAGATTGTTTGAGACGTGAGTTTGCCAAATGAAATATTTTAGAAAAATGCATTGCTAGAACAACAAACAATACTTTATTGATAGTTAAAGCAATGACTAATCTTGGTGTAATTCATATTTGTTGCACAGCACATACTCTTCAACTTTTAATTACCAATTCTTTAAAATCTAGTAAAGTAACAAGATTAATCGATAAAGCAAAAGAATTAAATAGTTTTTTAGTTAATAGGGATAAATACAGAGAAGTGCTAAAAAATACACAAGAAGAAATAAATAAAAAAATAATCGTGCTACAAGTCATGGACAACTTTTAGAACCAATAGCCACAATGTCTCCCACATGTTGGAATTCTGTATTTGTGCTGTTAGAGCATCTGTTATTGCTCTATGAATCAATCCAATTACTTGTTAAAAAAATGGTTTAAAATGCTGATTGAGAAATTCAAAAGATGGAAAAAAATTAGAGGCTTTACTGTTAAATAAAGAAGAATTATTAGGTCTTAAAGAACTTATTAGTTTATTAGAACCCTTTGCCTATGCAACATGTCTAATAGATAGTGATACATATCCCACACTCTCTCTTATGCTTCCAACAATTGCAACCCTTCAAGAATACTTGTTTAAACTAGAAAAAATCCTTACCAATCAAGTTATTTATGACGTTAGGGATGAGATTGAGCTTAATATAGCCGACCGATAGAAAGATCCAAAAATATAAGGATATTTAGCTACAATCTTGGATCCTCATTTTAAAAATCTAAAATTCGTTCTAGAAAAATCCGAAGAAACAAAACAATACCTCAAACAAAAAATAATAGCATTAGATGAGAATGAATATTTAGAGGAACAACCAACAGTGAAATCATTTTCAAATTTAGCGTCTTTTTTCAACAATACTACTATTATTAAAAAATTCTCTCTAATCGATACAGAATTGAAAACATATTTTGATATCCCTCAAATGGCACTATATAATCCTAATGATTCAGAATATAAAACTGAAAATCCACTTTTGTGGTGGCAATTATACTTAAAAATATTATCCTTATTTGCACAAATAGCCCATCAGTATCTTTCAATCTCTGCAAGCTCTGTTCCTTCTGAACATTTATTTTTAACAGCTGGAAATGTGTTAACTGATAAAAGAAATAGGTTACTTCCTAAAACTGTTCATAATCTGGTTTTTTTAAAAGAAAATAATAAGAATTTCAATATTTACCCAGATCTTGAATAGGCACACCTAAATAAGCTTCAGTA